GGAATTAAGATTCAGATTCTTCATGCTACCTGGCTAATTTTGTGTGATCAACTCCCCTCTGGAAGGATCTTTTATCCAGAACTCAGTCTTCTGGACACTGCTTGATAGAATTGATCCAAGATGCTCAGATGGTTTTTCCATTTGCAGATGGAGGTGCTTCAGTGGGTGAGCTATCTACTGCTCTTGGGTAACATGACAGCAATTTTTGTCCTATGAGAACATTCAGGAAATGCGGTGATAAACTTGCTTGTTTTTGTGCTGTGCCTTTGTCAGATTCTCTGTTTCTGCAGGCTGTTGGTCATAAAAGATAAGTTCCTAGCAATTGCTCATGCTTTCTGGTAGTCATCTCAAGCTGTATGATAGTACTTTCATCTACTGCTTGTAAAAAAGCTGTTTGTGTTTATCTGACAGCAAGTTCAATGTCCCTATAAATGCAGCTCATTGGAATTCTTTGGTTTGGGGAAGAGCAGAAAAACACAGCACAGGAATAAAATAGGGTAGCTTTCCCCAGAGGCTCGTTTCTTGTTTGCAAAAGAGAAATTTCCAAATGCGACTTTGTACTACTGACTCCCTCTTAAATAACAAAAAAGGGGTGGGATCGTCTGCTCCAAAGGAAAATACTGATGCTTTGCCAGAGTGTATTGGATGACAAAGGTGTAGGAATCTTAAATTTTTTTAGTTTTAAACTCCCCAGCGCCGAGGTAAGAGAAATATCCAAATATTTAGAAATTCAGGGGAAGGCTTTTTCCAGAGACTTTTTAAAATCTGTTGCTGAGCAAAGCACTGAGGAGTGGCATAAAGTTACTACAGACCCAAATGTAAATTTTAGTTGCTAAATTCAGAGGCTTGTTTCCTGTAGTAGTGTTTTCTCCACGATGAAAAAGTGACATTTTAACTCAAAACCTGGCTCCATTCCTGGCTTTTCTGCTCGCTTTGGAGGAGGTGAGGTGGTGCTCCTGCCTTCTCACAGCCATTCCCAGGGCAGAGCAAGCTTCGGGCTGTCACGTAGCACAGAGAGCCGCTGGTTTCAGTTTCCATCTCTGCATGATCATTCTCAAACCACATCTGAACCCTGAAATTAAGTAAGTCAAGAAATTTTTCCACCCTGCTTGGCCAGATGCTGACCCCTCCCAGCTGAGATTACTGGTGCCTGTGCTTCATGGTGCACTTCCCCACTGGGAGGTGGGGATGGCTGGGCAGTCCTGCCTAGGGAACGGCTCTGAGAGGCAGGAATGCAGATACTCAGATTGCATCGTTCCTTTGAAGTCACTCCTTGACTTTGGTTGTGGCTGTGATTTATGTCAGCTGATCCTTGGAGCCAGGAATAGCAGTGATTTGCCTTGACCTTGGACGTGCATGTTAGATCACCTGCCTGGGGTTCAGATGATCCACTTCATGGACAGCCATGTTATTTCCCTCCAGTTTCATGTTCTTGACTGTTGGAAGCTGTAATTTTTAGAGACTGTAAGAAGTAGATGCTAGTTTTTCTACTTGAATTAAACTTCAGGTCAGGCATCTTGTAGGATCCTGCAGGGAGAGCTTTGGGAGTTTTAGGTGTTACACAAATGACAGCTCTTGCTGTTCTCTCTTATCTCATCAGTTCCTGATTTGCTGCTTGGATTATCTAATCACTGTCAGTGCAAGTGTTTGGGGTGAAAGTGATTAGAGCAGTGCTTCCAACTAATTCCTATTCATGTAGTAGTAGTGTAAATGTTGATTTGAGGGATAAGTGAGCTAAGTGTTCATGCTGAATAGGCACCTGGGAGCGTCTGGGGCTGCTGCTGGTAGCTGCTGTCAGAACAGCTTCAACAGTGTAAACAGTTCAGGTACTGTTGTCAGTGTGAGGAAGTGCTGACAAGCCTCAGACACATACTCCATCATGATGGATCAAAGGCCTAATTATTTGCTCTGTATGCGCTCCTAATGGGGTCTGTGAGTAGCTCTCTGTCTTGGGCTCATCACCAGCTCTTCTGTGCATTGACGGGCTTTCTGTGTTCTTGCATAGAAGTTGGGTTTGTGCAGCTTCTGCTCAGTCAAGGTGGTGCTGGGTGTTCTTCTGCAATGTTGTGGGATCACTGAAATGATACTGTGATAATGGACACCCACTGCAGCTATCTCAGGATTTCGTTTTTGAAAGTGCTAAGCAGGTTTTAAGAGAGAGCTTGCGTCTTCCTTTTGAGTTTGTTCCCATAAGCTGTCAGGCAAGAGTTAACAACCACAGCACTGATGTTAATGGGATTCTGACAAAAACAAAATACTTGATAATACTTCAACTATTGCAGCCCAGTATGTAAATCTTATTTTCATGCTGTGTCTAAACACTTGTCCTCCTGTTTCCCACACCACCCAGTAACGGGTGGCTGTTTTGTTGCTGGCAGCGCTGAACAAAGCTGCAGTGAGGGATGAATTGCATCAAAGTCACTGGTGCAGAGAAGGCCTAACTGGCTGTTGATGTTTCTAGAGTTTGTGTAGCTGTATGGGTTTAGAGAACTCAAAACTCTTCTTCTAAGACTTTAAACATCTTTCTATTAATTTAACATCCAGGAACCCTGATGGTGCAACCAGATTGCACAGTCAGGTAGTACGCAAACATACAATTAAATTGTGCAGTCTGGAAGGAGGCAGTTGTACAACAGATGAGTAATGGCATTTCATTAGACCAAGTGACTGCCTAGATAACATGCAGGAGAACTGAGGATTCCTGGTTACAGTCAATGCCTTGAGAAATGCAGGCAACCTTCCAGCTGGTGTTGAGCTCACTATGTAAGCAGTACTTCATTGTTCACAAGCATTTGTATTACAAGTGGATTACAAGTGTATCTTGGGATAAGACCCAGTAGTAATGGTATTAACGGGGTGATGGAGCCTGTGCAATTACACAGGTGGTTTGTTAATCTACTGGTGCAACTAAGTAATTGCAGTTCAGTACTTATGAGATCAAATCTTGTCTGTGAGCTAAAAACTGCTTCCCTGTTCTTTGGAGAATAACTATTCTGATGAGAATGCTACCATTAGATGCAGAAAGAGTTGTGTGGGGTTTTTTTTGTTTGTTTGTTTGTTTTTTCCTTATGGGCTACCATATGAATAGTAGAGCATAAATTGGAGGGAGGTGGGTCTCAGCCATGTTTATGTACTCAAGCACAGCTTAAGTGCTTTTCCTAATTCAGGACAAAAACAAGCAGCGTGGTGCCTTAACCTGGCGGGTCAGAACACAAATACCTTGGCCTTGCTTCAGCTCAGAGATGCCAAAGGAAGGAGAGAGCTGATGCAGGAAGAGGAGGAAGTTCAGAGGGGGGACCCTTGTGTCCTGATTTTCCTCCATTTCACTCAAATTAGCATCATGAATGCCATTTGTTCTTCATAGGCATAGTTACTTGGGTTGGCATGACTTTGTCCTGAAGGCGGTGATGTATTGTATTGTGTTAGAGAATTGCTGTACTGTGGGAGCAGAACCAAACCACAAAAGCTGAGTATTTATATTTGATGCTGATTTGGCTCCTTTGCTTGCATTTAACAGGTGGTTGTGTTTTTGTTTTTTGTTTTTTTTTCCAGCTTTTTTTACCTTGATTCTGTTCTAAATCCAAAAATTAGTCTGGATTAGTTGTTGTTGCGCTACAGAACCCATTCCAGTAACATCAACTTATAACCACCTCCCATGCTTGTACGGAGTTGATTGCTAGTGGTACTTATGGTCCCAACAGCATTTGGAAGGTTGTGCTCCCGGCCAGAGGTGGAAAGAAGCTTTCTTTCCTTGGACGAGGAATGGGTGTCCACAAGCTGGGAGGAACAATATGACTCCCTGAACAGCTAAAAGACAGTGGAAGAACAGACAGCTGGTCAACTCAATCATTTTCATGCACAGAAAGAGTTACGGCTACTTAGTTGTAGCTACTTTTCATGGGCATTATTTTGTGCTGGATAAGTTGGTTTAGAAAACTATCAATGGATCCGAGGTTGGAGCTCTCTTGTCTGGTTGCTTGTTGGGCACTGGCTTGGTGGGAGGCAATGAGAAGTTCTGAGGGGTCCCATCACTGATCAGTCCATTTGTGCTACCCTGGAGCCCTGCCAGAGCTGTGCACTACTTGATAACGGCTGATAGGGACTTTTCTTTGAAATCACACTACTTGTAGTGGCAGTCTTGTTTTATTTCTATCTTACCAGGTGTCACTTTCAAATTACTGATTAAATGTAGGCTGTGAACAGTTGGTAAGGCTTAAATTTTTTTATCCTCTATGCAGACAGTATGTTATCTAAGTTTTGAATGTAATAAGATGATAGGAAGTGCTGTACAGTTGAGGACTAGGTGGGAAGATTGCAAGAAAGGGGACAGAAGTTTGATAAATGAATTGGCAGGATGCTGCAAGTGTGGAAAGGTGTTTCTTCAGTCACTCTGTGCAGAAAGAATCTCATTTAAGTGACTCAAATTTAAGTATTTGGACTTTGAAAGCAAAAGGACACTTGTCGGAATCCTGTATTCTACTGTGAAATGTTCTGTCCAGTCATTCAGTTACCCAGTAATTGAGCTCCTTTTCACTGTGTATTCACACTTATTCTTTTACGTATTATACACATATTCTGCTTTGCCAATTCACACACCTGATGGAATTTCATTCCTTGTCTGCTCAAGCTTTGTGTCTCTCTTAAGCATACGAGACTGGAACAAATAATGAATTAACATTGAAAAGTGTATCCCTTTATTTTGAAAAAGCTGTTTCCTAGAAAGTCCTGCATGTACAAGCAGGATGGCTGCAGCTTCTTTCATTAGCACCCTTCATGCAATCATCCTCTGTCTTTATTTATGACTTAATTTATGTCTGCAATGTAATTCAAAAGAAATACGATGTAAGTGTCCATTAGCTTGATCTTCATTTTGTCTGAGCTACTGAGAGCCATTAATTGTAACTCCAGAGCAGAATCTGATTTATAAGTCTAACTTCTATGCAAATGTTAGTGATATTGAAGTCATTGGAGATGCCAAGTTTATTCTCTTGTGTTTCTAGATTTACCAGAGATGCTGGTTAGTATTCAAAAAAGCTTCAAGCAAAGGGCCAAAGAGGCTGGAGAAATTCTCAGATGAACGAGCTGCTTACTTCAGATGCTATCACAAGGTAAGGCCTGATTATATTCTTGTTTATCAAACTTGTTTTACATGCAGTTGGGAATAAAATCTGAAGTTGTCACGTATTGGCCTGAAAACTGGAACTTTCATTTTCTACAGTCGGGGTCCAAAACCCATTTGTATGTTCCTTTAGTAAAGGAAGGGGAGATCAGAAAGTTGGGTACCTAACAGCTTGGGTCTTGTATGTGTGGGAGGCACTAGACAGCTACAGAAATGATGGGCAACGTGCAAATCTTTCTTGCAGCAGTGATGTGAAAACCTTTTCTGAATTCACTGATATTAAAAGAACGTTGCTTTCCCTCTAATCGCTTCTCTGCAGTTCTGTGTGCATTTCATACTCATCTGAGAATTTACATGTGTAATTCTCCTGGGCATGGAGATGAAAATGAGAAACCCTTTAATTTATGATCATTGTTGGCAAAAGCTTAATATATTAGAAGATTAGGATTTATGTGCATAAATTGCTGGGAGTCAGCGAGCACAGCTCAGCTCGAGGCTGATCTGCATTTATTCTCTTTGACGTACGTTTAGGAGGAAATCTGGAGGGAATACTGAGTCTGAATTCAGACTTGTCGGTCTGCATGCCGTATAATTTGTAACTGATTGATCATAAAACCTGTGGCAATTTGTAGTAAGTCGTGCCCATAAATACTCCATCTACATTTTGATTAAGAAACTTTCAGAAGTAATGAACGGTGTGTTTGAGGGTAGCACGGTGTGTGTAAGACAACATCTAGCTTTCAGTGAGACGCTGCCTTTGTATCAGCGTGGCTCTGTCAGTCTCATGCAAGTGTTTATTTCTTCCATTGTACAAATGTAACGCATCATCGGGTTCAGATTAGTTAACAGATGTGAAATCTAAAAGGAATCTGAATGAAGCTGGATTTCTTTTTCAAGAGAAACTGAGGCTGCCCTCTAGTTCTAAAGCTATCAGCTATACAAGCTGATTGGCTCTGCTTGTTTATAACCAACCTTACTTGAAAGGAAGCTAATGAGTGTTAAGTAGTGTTCTTGTGTTCTTTGGCTAAAATGTGTTGACTTACAAAGAGCACATGTGGCTTAAAATGGCTTTATCCTTTTTAAAAAAGCTTTGTAAATGTGTGAAATTCAAAGGTGGGCAATGATGCAATTTCCAGCATGATTATCTGGGAGGTGGTCAAAGGGAACATGCCACTGCTGCTCTGTGTTGCACTGCAGTTGAATTGATTCTTGTAAAAACAAACAAACAAAAAAAAAAAAACAAAAAAACCACCAAAAACATAATAATTAAATGAAAAGGAAAAGGAAAAAAACATCTTAATTTGGCAGTCATCAACCACACTACTTCTCAACTGTTTTTATCTATCTTATTAATGGGCTTTGATGGTCATCATATCATCCAGTGCCTGCAATAGTCATTGCTATTGTTATACACATCTGGTCAGCACAAGCTGTTGAAGGCAGCATCAAATCTAGACACTGGAGGAGCCCTTGCTCACCCCATCAGTCTTTGTGGAGATTTAATCTATCATAAGACTGTGAAAATGAAAAATGATGAATGCAGCAAATGTTTTAATAGCACCTGCCTCCTTCACTGGGGTGTTAAATTGTTTATTGTGTGTGTGTGATGAATTAAAGCACAAACATTACTTCAGTTTATTAGTGGAGGGAGCCTGGGGCGCTTCTTGTGCTGGTCCTGCAGTGGTGCCTCTCAGTCTGAGCTGGAATGGACTGAGGCGTAAGTCATCCTCACCCAGGCACGATTCCTTCTCCCTTTGGAGTCTGGGTTGGAAGTTCAGTGTTTCTGTCACACTGGGGGATCCAGTTTATTTGAGTTTGGGAACACGAGGGCTGTGTCCTACTCTGCAGCCCTGTGCCAAAGGTGGAATCTTGACATCTTTGCTGCTCCCATCTTGCTGATGCGACACCACCTCTTCTCCCTGCCCCACGCCTGGGGCTTTCCCACGTCATTTTGATGGAGGAAGATTTTGTTGCTGCCATCATCCATTGTGATACCAGTAGCCTGTGGGCTCCTGCAGGAGATGATAACTGCTAGCTTGGCTTGGTGGCTGTGTTTTAGAATGAAGAACGTTCATTCGTTGGTTCAGGTGGTTTGGACGTTCAGCTCTTAGACTGCTTTACTTTGTGCTTGCCTGAATCTCCTATGTGTACTTCTGAAATAAATGATGCAAGATGGAATGAGTATTTTTATGTAAAACATTCAAATACTTATAATTTAAGTGCATCTCTGCCTGAATTTCTTATTAAACATGATCTAAAGGATCCAGACTTGCAGTTAGTTGGCAAAGTCAGTGACTGGGGAAGTTTAAAACAACGGAAGAAATAATACTTCTGTGTAATATTGACTTTAAATACTTTTTAATCTCCATTTTTTTTTAACGCAAAAAGATTGAAGTGCACTAAAATACAGGTCATCTGAAAATGGTCATATATAACTTAAGTGAACTGAAATATTGCATACTCAAAATTACTTAATTTGGGTCTACAAGGATGAGAAAATAATCTGGATCTGGAGTGCAAAATCTGGGCAGAGAATTGCCTTTCAGGTAACTGTATGGATTTCATTTGGTAAATAAAAATAATCATCCACAAATGACCATATGCTTTAGCATGGTGATGTTGGAAGAATGAAGGAATTTGTGTTTCTCCAGGTGATTTTGAACTCTGCAGGGTACCAGAATAATCCTTAATATTCCAACACAAAGCCAACTAATTCCATACTGCTGACAAGACTATGCTGATTCCTTGAGGGGATCTAAGTTTTCATCCCATTGTATTAATCTTGCTTTGAAACAGCAGAAGCAATTTAAACAGTCTGTCTAGTTATGGAATAATCCAGTTGGAAAATTGAATTGTCATTTGTAATTGTTTTCCAGCCTTGCTCATGCAAAACTGTACCAGTGGCAAATTAAATGTTGAAAGTATGACCACTCTGCTTATAACTGACTGTTAAACATTTATTTTAATGAGTGCTATCACTTAACTCCAAATAAAATGTCTGCTTTGAGGTTTTAGAAGAATTAAAGCAACTCATTGGGGATGTTTTGGTGCCTTTGCCATGCAAGTATATGTGTTTACCAGCAGATCTTGTGCCATGAATGGAGCTGGGCTGGGATGACTGTGCTGTATTTACCAATGAATTTCCCCTGGTGGGACTGTGATGTTTTGCCTACAGCCCTCTGCTGGGTGAGTTTCCAAGCAGCTGAGAAGCATAAAGTCCTTAATTAAGATTGAAACCAAAGATGCATCCAAACCACTGAGCGTGGCAGTTGTGTAGGCGATAAATGTGATCCCTTGTGTTCTGTTCTGAAAGGCTCCCCATATTTGAGAATTATGTCCTAATTCAAAGGGTTGTTTGAATTCACGAGGCTGCTAGGGCTGTTTTCAGTCAACTGTGTGTTTGGCATGTTAGAGGAGGGGATGGAAGAGGGAAAATCTTTTCCAGAGTGTTTCTGGCCATGATGAAGCTCTGTCTGCTTGTGCTGTCGGTCAGGCAGTGAACGCTTAATCCCTTATCCTGATCCATGATTCCTACCACACACCTCTGCAATTTATTTTGGTCTTTAATCAGGTGTACTTCAGTTGTATGGGTTGTCACCTTTGATGTAAAGGAGCCCTGAAAGCAAAAGGGAGGAAAGGAGTGTGCCAGGGCGGCAACCCTTCTCAATAGAATAACATTCCTCCTGTTCTTTCACTGTTAAATACTGATGTGGGCCTGAGATTCGTAGCTCATCCAACTTCTTAGAATTAAGCTTATAGATGACACTAATTTTGAAGAAAAAAAAAAAAAAAAAAAAAACCACCTCAAAACTTACTAAACTATGACAACACTTTTACATGTCTAGCAGGAAGAGAATAGCAGCCTGGAATACTGGCAGGTGCTTGGTGTCTGCTCCTGACTCCTTTCCAAAGCCCGGGGAGGGGAAATTAACTGTCTGCCACTTCTTCGTGTGAATTTGGTGCCAGACAATTTGAACCATCTGTTGCATTCGTGAGAGCAATGGTGAGGCTCTTCAGGCTGCCTGGGTAATGAGGGTGCTCTGTAGCACCTTGCAGGGCGATGCAGCAGGTTGGGTGCCGGGTGGTTTTGACGAGCTCTCCCTTGGGAGCACAGGTGTGCTGTGGAGGCTCTGCAGTAGGATCTGCTCCTTGGCCAAAGCTGGGCTTTGCAGGAAGGGGCTGTGCTGTGCCACAGTTCTTCTGAAAGGTAAGGACAGCTCCAGCAGTGCAGCCCCAAAAGGAAGAGAGGGCAGTTGCTGCGTTTTTGCCAGCTGTAAAAATCGGGTGCTATGAAGTTGTATTTGGGACCTAAAGCATGTGTGAGCTGAAAGATTGAATTTCTGAAGGGGAACATGGTTGTGCGTTATGCTGCCTTCAGGTCAGGACACCCAGCCATGCACTTCTGTTCCCTTTGGGTTTTGCTTAACTCCCTTATGGCCCAATGAAGTAACTGTAGCATAGAGTGACTGTCCTCACTGAGGAGAAATTACTACTGTCATGGGCTGCAGGGTGAGGGAAGAGATGCTATGTAATTTCTAGTAACCTTTTATTGACCGGGAGAACAAAAAAGAAAGGAAAAATGTTGGTTTACAAGTATGGCTGTAGCTTCTGTCCTACTCTATGTAATGACCAAATTGGGGTAACCAGCTGGTTCTGGTGTAAAGCCTTAGACCAGAAAGGGTCACGGGTGTGTTATATTTGGCAGGAGGAGATCTGAATTCCAGTGGCTGGGCTCAGAGATGATGCAGCCTAGAGCTGCAATGTGGATGTGGCACTGAGACACAAAGCAAGAGTGCAGGAGGCTTTGGGTTGGTAGAGGTGAGCTGGGGTTGGAGTCTAGGTAAAGGAAGGTGTGATCACAATTTGCTTCTTTTATGTACAAACACAGCAGATGCTTTAATCTCATCCTTCTCATCTTCCCAGCAGTGCTTTGAACATTCTCACCTGTCTGGCCCAGAGGTACATGACTCAGTCTGAACACAAGTCATTAGTGGTACTGCTGGTTGGTTTGTTTGCTCCCTTTCGAGAGCCAGCAGCCTCCTGTGCTGCCCAGTGCTGCGTTCCCTGGTGGGGCTGCCCTGCAGAGCTGCATGCCCTGTGTGCTCTGGGAGCTGGCAGGGGGCTGGGGCAGTGGCTGGCTGGTCCTGAGCCCCCAGCTGCCACTGGATCCCACAGTAGCAAGGAGAAGCAGTTTTCTGTATAAACCTTCTCTGATCATGCTGCTGATCATCTTGGGATTCATTACACTAGACACCAATTAGTGTGCTACCCAGCAGCAGGAGTGTTAGACGCCAGATTTTTGGAAATGAGCTTTCAATTAGAATAAATCCTGGATAACTAAATGATACATTACCAAAATATATGGCCCAATTCTGCTTCTGCTGGCTTCTGTACTCACAGGTACTTGCTCACTCACTGGTGCCAATTTCATTAGCACATTCACTTGCAGAAAATGTGCTCTCTGTAAATGTCAGAATAGTTACTGCCCTGAACAAAAAGTCTAACTTTAGTTTCTTTCCTTATTGCATTTGAATATTTCCTGGCAAATGAGAGCTGAACCTGGCAGCTGGCAGCTCAAGCTTGACCTGTCATGTACTGAGTACGATGGGAATGAGCCACGACAGATTTGTCATATTTAACAATGAGTTTGTCAGTGTCTTGTTAGCACTGGGGGATGTACTTCCATCACAGGATTTCCTAGAAGAGAGAAAAATCCTCATGCAAAATTAAGCACAATCAGGAAGTCTCGGTTTTGACACTTCTCAAAATCTTGAGCCCAGAGGCTATAAAAACCTGATTCCTAGATTTGGCAGCTCAGCAGAAGACTTGATGTGTTCCCTATGGATGTTTCTTTCATTTTGTTATTCCTGTTGCTAGCAGCTGCAGAGTGAATTTCCAGATCTTAGGTGTGTGGCTTATCTGGGGGATAGGCTGCCCACTGGCTGCTGTCCCTTCCAGTCATTGATCTCCAGGCTCTTGCCTGAAAGTTTGACTTTAACTGTCCATATTCCCTTGCTAAAAGAGAAGAGGCAATAGATTGACTCTAAGGAGAAGGTGATTTAGGGTTTAAGGCCGGAGGGATGCAGTAGGTGTGTTGGGGAACCCAAGGAGCTGTGGGGGATCAGCCCCTTTCTGGACCCTACCGTAAGAAGTTGTGGTAGTTCCCAAATCTTCCAGGTAAGATGGAGTGCTGCGTTTCTTCCTTTACAACTGCAACCATAAAAGAGTGTTCCGCAGCCCTAATGAGACTGAAGTAATTAAGCACTGTGGTTGCAAAGTACAGCTTTGGGGATGTTTTTCTTAAACTCCTTTCTGTCTCTGCAGTCCTTGGCATGTAAAACAATCAGTGAAGCTATTTCTGATATTTCAGTAGAGCTTCCTGATGCCTTGTCTGGGTATTAATCTTTACACTAAAAAGAATTTTAAAAGTGAAAAATTTCTCTTCAGTCAAATTTATGAACATTATTGATGAGGGTGAGCGTGAAAAGTGGATGCTAGAGCCACATGAGGGAACCATGGCATTTCCTAAAACTCTGTGAGGTAACAGATGTTCATTTTTGTTGGATTGAAAGAGATTCCAGTCGGTTTTTGGCTACCAAGCAACAGAAATCTGCATCTTCAAATCTGAGAATTCATTCTGTGAATCTTTAAAGGGAACAAGCTTTCCAACTACTAAAACTGTGATCTTTTAAAAAAAAAATTATTTCAATTTTTCATAGTTATTTTCTCTATGGGCTGTTATAACAAACCACCAACTTTCCTTAAACGCAGTTTCAGACACTGACTTTACACCATTCTCAGTTTTGTCCTTACGATGGAAGCCATGCCGGAACTGGATTTGCTCCACCAAATGGGAGACTCTTTCAGCTTTCTCTCTTCACCTCCTTTTATTTCTACTGCAACAGGTTGGTCTTCTAAATGTCCTGCCTGTAAGTATTTCTTGAAGTGAGCTTCGATTCTACCTGCATCTTGGCTTAAATCCTGCTTAGGTCAGTTTGCGCTGAAGTTATGTGGATGAGAGGGAAGTGGAGAATGTCTCCTTCACCATCCAGGCTCTCCAAGTAGATTGCACAAGATGATTCATGTCAACGCTGTGTTTCCTTGAGGGCAATCAAATATTCTCTCTTTGTCTGTCCTTTGCAGCTCAACATCATTCTTTTTTCAGCTTCTCTGGTCAATAGTGGATATATATCTTTTTAGGTCTTAATTACATCCCCAAATTGTTGGTTTTTTTGGTGTGTTTTTCTTTTTTTCTTCCAGGTCACAGAGCTCAATAATGTGAAGAATATATCACGGATGCCAAAAAGCACAAAGAAGCATGCTGTTGGGATCTACTTTAATGATGACACCTCTAAAACTTTTGCTTGTGAGTCAGGTGGGTAAAATGGCAATGCCCATGAGAACATGAGAGCATCAATTGTGAAATCATAAATGTATTATACCTACACACAGACTTTCTGGGCATTTATACAGAACTTGAGGCAGATGAGTGGTGCAAGGTATTGCAGATGGAGTGTCTTGGGACAAGAATTAATGACATTAGCCTTGGAGAGCCTGACTTGTTGGCATCAGGAGTGGAGAGGGAGCAGAATGGTATGTACATAATGTATTGACTTCTTAAGTCTTTTGTTACTTTATTTTAAAATCATTTGGACTGCACATAAGAACACAAAAAATAAATTGGTACCAAAAATTGTTTTTTGGTACCAATTAAGAAACCAAGTCCCCCATCCTGTTTGTTTTGTTTTAATTGCCATCAGAAATAACAAGCATGGTAATAAGGTGCTGTAATTCAGGGCTTTAAAATTATTTTGGAATAGCACTTTTCCTCTCATACAATTTAGCTGACCTTGGAGAGGGAAATTGTATTTTCATTGTGTGTTTTCTTATACTGTGTCTGTACAACAGTTTCAGCCTCTGACTGAAACTATTTATCAACATTGTTAAAGCAAATAATAAATAACAATAATTACACTCAAAACCTGAGCTCTAAGCTACTTCATTTTCCTATGCAAATTAATTAATTATATGCACAAAAGCACTTGCAGTGTATTTATTCGTGCACACAGTTGTATTAATATCAGGATTATGATGGTGCAGTTCTTCTGCATCTCAACACATTCCTAAGTGTTTGCCCTTTCAGCGCAGTGTTTTGATTGCTCCAAACATTGAGTTAGTTGAGTTGTTGGAAGGAATTGAGTCTTTATTTTTGCAATAATTGTTTGAAGTGAAATAAGATCTTTTAATAGAGGTGGAAAATAGGAAATTCCTTTAATGACTTCGACAGTTAACGGGCAGGGATTTTAGACTAACCTTTTGTTTTTCTCCCAGAGAGATTCAATGTGTATTTGATGCCATCCCCTAACTTAGATGTGCATGGGGAATGTACCTTGCAGATAACATTTGAGAATATCTGTCTTTGGGACATCCAGAATCCCAGAGTCAAACTCGTCTCTTGGCCATTAAGTGCCCTCCGACGCTACGGACGGGACCCTTCTTGGTTCACCTTTGAAGCAGGGAGGTAGGTGTGTGTTTGTTGCAGTGCATCACCTTCCTCCATCATTCTGAAGTAGTGGAGAAGGGGGTCCTTGTTTTTGTTAATCACACTCCTGCTTTCCATCTGTTGTGACAAATGCGTTTATAAGAAACGTAAATGCAGTTCCTCCTTCTAGAGTTGTTGTTCCTTATCGCTTCCTGCAGCTTGAACTTAATGAACTGAAGTCTTTGTGTGGCTGAGGCTGGAGCACCTGTTGATTGGACTAAACTCCCAAATCCTTTTTAAAGGCTGTGGTTGCTTTATTTTAGATAAGCACATTAAAGAATTACAATCGTAAAAGAGAAACACATCGTACAATTAACATATCTGGAAAGAGAAGAGGCATTTAAACGTCCATCCTCTGTATTGCTGAAGAATTTAGTTCTCTCAGGAAAAGGGATGTGTTCTTAGTTCTCTGATTGTGCATGAGCTGTGGTAAGACATTACCGTTGGGATGCTGAGGATAACGTGTTTAGGGTTTCAAGTGAAAGACAAAGCTCATTACAGGCAATATTAAAGCCCTGAAAGGGGAAGAAGGAAAATTAATCCTCTCTTTTAAGTCTAAATTTCAAAAATCTGGGTTTTGTGCATCAACTCTCTAGAGCTCATGCACTTTCAAGGGTTGTACTCACCTGAGTCTGTGTTTGGCCAAAGTGTGGGTTAAAACAGTAAGATTGTGCTAGGGCTGTTAAAGCCCATGCAAATAACTTTCTTCAGTTCTTCAACAACCTTTGTTTCATTCTGCTTGTGCAGTGATGGCTCTAAAGCTGCATGGTGCAGTGCTACAGATCCTTGCGAGAAAGTGAAAAATCTCACATCTGGCTCCTGTCTGCTTTCACTTTGGCAGGATGTGCGACACAGGAGAAGGACTGTTCATCTTTCAGACACGAGATGGGGAAGCAATCTATCAGAAGGTTCACTCGGCTGCTCTGGCCATAGCAGAACAACACGAGCGCCTGCTGCAGAGCGTGAAAAATTCAATGGTACGGCTGTGCGCTCCGCTTGCTATTTCACATAAGTGAGCGATGCCTCAGTGTGACTTCCTTTAGATTCACAGGCAGAAAGCAGTCTGAGTATTGCTCTTAGTAAATTAGTCTCAATTATTATATTTAGGGTAGTGTTTGGATCCTTGAAAAGCAATCCCGGTTACAAACAACAAGGAAATGTATAGTCTTTGGTATCTGTGGTTGGAAAGCCACAAGTGTGATTTAATACAGAGATGATGAGCTCCCATCAATCCGTAGTTTCCTTTCTCATTAACTTATTCTAATTAGTCACCATCATGAGTTTGTTTAGAAACATTTCTCATCCATCTATTTGCAGAATGTGGCTCGTGCTCAGTTTTTTGTTTGTTAATTGATGCCTACGCTTCAAGCATGACTTGGAATGAGCTGTATGGCTCAGGTTAACCTGTGGGAGGGAGGGCTACATGTTTGTCTGATCTCTTGGTGGATGCCTGTTTTTCACAAGTGCTTTTTGTGTCTGAAACTCATTTTATGATGCTCATTACCCCTAGAAAGTATAGGAGTATAAGGTGCAAAGTTAACCTACAAACTGAGAACAGATAGTGTGGGATCTCCATGTGTGATGTCAAAAGAAGGTAGTTTGGTGGTACTTGTACGTAGCATGTTTCCAGGTCTTATTTTGTATGTTTTCTCATGAATTCTGTGGGGTCAGAAGGAATCTTCTGTTTATCCTGTGTCCACAGTCAGTCTCTACACTGTAGGACTCTCAGACTTTCTAGAATGCATAAAATGTGCAGAATGGACAACTATGGAAGAGCCTGGCCATATGCAACTTCTCTACTTCAGGCAGTACTAATTGGTTTGTGCAATCTGCAGTGAAAACTGTCTTTTCCTTTCTATGAAAAGTGCTGCTGTTATCCACATCCATGTCTAATCCTTTCAGTAGTTCTACTCATTTCCTGAACTTGAGACAGAAAGGAAGTCAAATCTGTGATAGGAAGCTATTTCTCTTAACAGTATAATGAGGAGGAGCAATAGAAAATTATTTTCAAGTGTTCTGACAGACTTTGTGTACTACATAGCTGCTTCAGCCCAACATGCAGCTGGATGGGTCATTCTGTCATCGCTTGTAGAGCAGGTGAGCAAATGAGTGAGAAAGCACAGAAGACTCGAATCTATTTAGGGGCAATGCAGGCCACGTATGCCCATTTCCAGCAAGGAACAGACCAGTTAGCATGGCAGTTTCCAGTTGGTGCTACCCAGTTAACTTCTGGCTGGTGTCACCTCAGTGAAGCCATGTCCATGAGGACAAATACTGACCCAAAGCCTGTCTTGTTCAAGAATGCCCAAAATTCCTTAATTTGAGACAGATGGGAGATGATGTAAGCATGCATCGGTAGCTAACTGAAGCATATTGGAAGTAGCCTAGTCTACGTCAGCGTACATAGCAAACGTTTGTAGCAAACCAGCATCAGATGGGACTGAGCAAGCTGTTGAGAGAGTGAATTTTGTTTTTTTTTTTTTTTTTAAAAAAAAAAAAAAAAAAAAAAGGGCAATTCATTAGCTTTTACCTCCTGTAGTAAATAGGTTTTCAGGCTATTTCATATTAGTGGTTTTGCATTCATGTAGTAGCATCTTTAATACACGGTGTCTGACAGCATGCTGTAAAATTTGTTTTACAAGTGCCCATACATTCAACAGATGCACAATTGCTGTAGATTTCAGCAGAGAGCAGCTGTACAACCTCAGAAGCTTTTTCATGAACACTGTGTCCAACCACAACCCCTAAATCTAGTTTTATAGACCCAAGAGCACTAAACAGGAAATAAGAACATATTCCCATCGAACTCAAAGCCGTGTAATTTAAGATCTGAATATAATTGCTTCAGACAGGTCCATATGCCCATGAATATAAGTCTCCCAAGTCTGTCATAGAAATGTCTGGTCCCAGTATAGTCAGGCTTAGTTCCTTCTTTTGGTTTCAAGGATGCTCAGATTTAGGAGTTCAGACAGAAGATCGTTACATTAACGCAGAGATCAGATAGCTGCTTTTGCTGATCACAGGATACCTTGTGAGGGTCATCTTCATTGTTCAGGTTGATTGATTTTCCTGGTACTTTAATTCTGCTTGAACACTTCCAAGGGGAGTCTATATGGAGGCTTGCACTTCACGCCCAGCGGTCTGAGCTGCATTAGGTTGTTTTTGTCTCCAAGAATTAATAACCCCTTGTGATTTTTTTTTTTAATTGCGTTAGTGAAGCTAGAGCTACTATTTACAGAAAAGATAAATAAGAGATGGGAGACACTGGTAGTGAGACATGAAGTCTCCTCTGAGTGGCTTCTGAATCACAGAATCACAAGGTTGGAAACGACCTGCAAGATCATCCAGTCCAACCACCCTCCTATTCCAATTAGTACCACAAGCTACTAAACCAGATCTCATAGCTCCTCATCCAGGTGCCTCTTGAACACTGCCAGGGATGGCGACTCCACCACCTCCCTGGGCAGGCCATTTCAGTGCCTGACCACCCTTCTCCTTTCCCCTGGCTGCTGCTACATCAGTAAGGTGAGCATGGGAGACAGGGCAGTGGTGCTGAGCACTTGAGAGCTCTTGGGGGCTGAGCAGTAAGGGGGTGTTGGATGTCTCACGTTGGTAAAGCAAATGGAGCTGCCAAGTTCTGCTGAGCGTGGGCTGTGATGTCTGACACCTCCCCAGCAGCCTCGTGCTCCATAGCTCGGTGTGTTGGTGCAGTGTGGCTGTATCTGCCTGTGGATGCTGCAAGGATTGTAGGAATGAGCGAGGTGGGCTTCCTCAGCCAGAGCCTCCCCCTGACAGTCTGCTGTGTGTGATGGCGTTCTGGTGAGGTCTGATGTGCTGACCAGGGTCTGACACACATTCACAAGTGGGCTTTGGTTGTTTTGCTTTCCAGTGAATTCAAAGATTTCTTTTTTTAAAGAAGGAAAGAGCAAATTCTGCTTAGCGATGCATGAAGCTGTTCTGGCCAGTGGCAACTCACCTTGTCCAGCTGCTCCTTTTCTGCACTGCCAGACAAAGAAATGAAAATACCTATTCAAATTGCAGGCATATTTTCTTTCCTTTTCGAGCAACCTTCAAAGCTAACTCGGAAGAAAGCTAACTCTTAAGCAGGCAGTGGTTTTGCCTCCTGTGCTAGTTTCACTAATTGCTAAGAAGAGAGTGAGAGGCTGTGGATTAGGTGCACTCCAATTAACAAGTTATTCATTATATTAATGGTATGTGGAGTTTTATGTCTTGCTTGATCCTCTGCTTGCAGCCACTGCCCATGCATGCTCCAGCACGGAGTTCTGGCTGGCTTTGACCTGCTTATGGTACTCGGTGCCTGTGTGGAATAAAGCCAGGCCATTAGCAAGCAATTCCTGCTTCCTCGGTTGCCACAGAGATACAGTGGGCTAATTGTGAGAATGAAACCCATCATCATTATAGCTGCTTTTGCTCACAGTCTGAGGTGTTTTGATGAAGTGCTATGTATTCAGGACATAACATATTCGTTCTTTTCCCCAGCTGTGGGTTTTCTAATTCTTTCCCATGCTGATTGAGATCAGGTCAGGCATCTCTTCTGCCCCTTCTGTGTCTTTATCTTCTTTCTCAGGCAGTGTCTTTTTCTCCACTGATACCCTCCTGGCTGTTGCTGTCCTCCTGGCAGCTGGGCTGTGGCTCAAACCACCTGAGTTTGCTTCCCGACTCACTTGTGAGTGCACCAGCCTAGAAGTGCCATCAGTGAGGAAGCACGTTCTGCTCCGGCTGTGGGTCTCTCATTGTTTGTTTCCATGGAGCTGTTGTGTATGGTGACACCACAAGTGATGTTGGGGCTTCAATGATGGAACTGTGATAAATACTGTGTGGTGGAGGTGGCAGCTCGTGCTGTGCAGTGACTCACCCTTCCAACATGGGGGTGTGTGTTCTAAGAGCAAAGGTTGATCTGGGTTTGCTTTTGTTTTTGTTTTGATTTCCCTTGATGTTGCAGGCACAGCATCCACCATACAGAGGGAGTTTGGGGGTTTTCGCCCCTCTAAAGAACCTCAAAATGGCTCTTCAGTAACAGGCAGCTCTCTTGTAAAAGGTTCTGTTACTGTTCAGGTTTTGTGAAACTATAATGTAAGAGCTTGCTTTTTTCCTGAAAAGCATTTTTATAAATAGAAAAGATCAAGTACAGGTTTGGTATCTTCAAACTAATGTTTTTCTGAGCTTTGGAAAAAAGAGAATTTTAGTTCTACTATGAAGTTTATGATAAAACCCAGATATTATTATCAGACAGCATATGCATACTACTGAATTCATGTGAAACATGTCTAATCAGGTTCTTGGTGTGCTGAGGTTGTACGTAGCTTTGGGAAGCTGCTTATGTAGTTGCTGCGTAGCTCTCAGAGGAGGAGCATTTTTCTGCCTCCCACTGAACCTCAGTTTCTGTTTCAGCTACTTGAGTTAGACCTCCCTGCAGAGGCAGCAGTGCTGGCGCAGGAGCAGGGCAGCACGAAGGTGAGCTCTGGTGTGCAAAGCAGTGTGACTTCCTAACGTGTGGTGTGTGCCCCCAGCCTAACCCCAAGTCAGTCCCTGCTGGCTGCAGGATGGGCAGATGGACAGAGGGTGACGCTGTGCTGAAATGCCATTAGAAATCTTTTCAGGCAGTGGTTGCGCTCTTCCCTGAGGACCTTCAGTGTGCACAACTGCTTCCTTCATATCTGTTTACTGCTTTACAGCTTCAGATGAAGATGAGTGAGCGAGCCGTGTCCCTCAGCACCATGGTGCCCCTGCCCCGCAGTGCCTACTGGCAGCACATCACACGGCAGCACAGCACCGGCCAGCTCTACGGCCTGCAAGGTAAGGAGGAGCTGGGGAGGGCTGCTGAGGCAGTGCAGTGTCTCTCTATCTCTCTGAACACTGATGCTCAGTCTCAGCCAGTTGCCACTGCTGTCGAATTAATGGAGGGAAGTGCTTGTCCAACCTGAGTTGGAGAGGTTGGCATCAGAAGGATGCTCGTCTTGCTTTTCAGTGGAAGGGTGACTTCATGGCATGGTTTTCTCTCTAGATCTGTGTGACAGGGACAGCAGGTCCCTGGGCCAGAAAAGGGGAAAGGGAATGAAAAGGAAAAAAAGAGAAATGGCAATGATCTGAGGAGGAAAACAAACTTTGTTTACTAATTAGGATTGAAGCTAATAAATAGATGACAGTTTCTGAAAAATTGAAGTTCTTACTCTGAGCCATCAGGGAGCAAAGAGAGTCTCTTGACTTCCACTCAGTTTCATTTTTCCCTCTCCCTGGAAGACGGAAATGAAAAGTGAGGTCTTCTGGGATCTGTAGTTAAACCATGGAAGCGAGAAGCTGTGGTGAAGCTGGGTCCACTCCTGGTCCTGGACTTGGTCAACAGTTTATGCCTAATATGTCCACAATCAATGTAAGGCAGGACCTTACTGAAGCTAACAAGGCCTAAAACAATGACTTACCGAGGGTCCGTACCGGCAAGGCGTCTTGGTGTGGAGACGTGAGGGATGTCTGTGCAGGCACAGCTCCAGGTGGGCTGCGGGGTTTTTCCGGAGGGCTTCTGTCCCGGCTGCGCTCCGCGGTCCCCGGGGGCCATCTAGTGGCACCGCGCACCCCGAGCTGTGGGATGGGCTGCAACTGGTGCTGATGAGCTAGGAAGGAAGGAAGGAGAAGGAAGGAAAAGGAAGGAAGGGTCGGGGTACGCAGAAGAGACCCCGGAGAACAGACGGGACGCGTGGTGCAGGTGGGGCAGCCCGGTGCTGAGGGGCCGCGCTGTGGCTGGCTGCGGCTTTCTTCTCGCAGTGTGTAGACGGATGGAATAACGCTGTGCTTGGGAAATCTTACAGAGGTGGTGATTTGATTTATTTATTTATAGCTTTTTTTTTATTATTATTATTATTTATTTTATTTTATTTTTTTTAGTCCTTCAGGTAGGAGGAGAAGCAATGATTCTTAGATACTCATTTTGCCCGTTTAAATTAAGCAGGAGGCTCCAACTTCTGCAGAGCGCGGAGTGTCAGCGGTTGTAGTTAGAAATCCAGGGCTGACACCCGACACAGGCGGCTGCGCTCCATTCTCATCCCTCTGGCAGTAACAGCTCGTCGTTTTGTCCCGTTCCTTTTTTTCGAACGCTAGAGGGGGCATGCAGCGCGTGGAAAGCCCCAGCGAAGCCTCTGCCGTGTTTCGGACGGAGGGAAGAATAACGCAATAGAAGCAGCACGCGAACGCTTGTTGGCGCTGGTTCGTACCGGGATGCGGGCAGGCGATGCTGTGACACACGGGAGCGGCTTGAGCCCGTCAGGCACTGCTATGGCTGTGCCTCGGTGTATTTTTAGTTATTAGTGCAGTCATTCAGCACTGTGTTGACTCAGCGTAAACAGACTGTATGGGGGCAGACCACTCGTTTTGTATTTAGAACAGCTTGTTAAACTGGAAAGGGGATCCTTGGAGGTTGTGGTCATGAGAAAGCAGTAAAAGTCTTTGAAAAGTCCTGGTCTTTGAGAAGGAAAAAATAAAGGCAGTGTTGTAATCAGAATAGATAGTGAAGTCATGTCGGGGACTGTCCCAGTGTCACCCTGAGCATCTCCAGTTAAAGCACATTGCCCAAAGCTTCAAATGCTTCAATTCATATTGAAAATCTGAGTGGAGCTGTTTCTGAGATGAAGCAGCAGGTTAATTATACCTATCCCTACTTTAAGGACGTAAGCTGTAGTTCACATAGTGATCTACAGGGCGCTGAGTAAAGTCGCTGTGCCTCACTGAGCGCTGTTCTGTTTTTCATCCCGGCACACAGCAGATGTCTCAAGCCCTGTGAAGCTCCATCGGACAGACACGTTTCCAGTCTACAGATCAGATCATCGATAAAGGGCTGCCAAGAACTTTACAAACTCTTTGTCTTCTGATGTGCTGCCCTGGTACCGGGATGACACGGATGATGCAAAGTGAGGATAGAAGCACTGAGAAGTGTGGGCTGGATGGGAAGTTACTGCAGTACAAAGGTGGCATGTCGTCTTTTGTTTTGTTTTTCTTTCCAACTTTGCCAAAAGATAAAATGATTCTGTAGAGACTGGGGGTGGGAACAAAACCATCTCACCCTGCAGTGGTTCTTTTCTATCCTACAGCTGGACAGACAAGTTGCTCCCTAAATATTTCCAAATGTTTTTGTATGATACCTATGTTGTAAATAGAAGATTTTCCTGTTGTAGTGTGGTTTCATCCTGTCCGTTACAGCTGTCATCCTTGTTTGTAATGCTTATCTTCAGTTCTTAACGTGACTGTTCAGCATAACCCCCGACCTTTGAAATAGTGGCCAGTTTTAAGCAGCTGTTGGATTTCAATCTTTTCCTGTTTGAAACCCCAATGGAGACTTGGTTTGTTTCTATTAAAAGCTCACTCTCTGTCGTCTGTTTCCTGTATTTATTTCCATCCCTGTAAATGTTTGAAATAAAAGCAATTCCCAGTTAATTGGTGGCGCAGTGCTTCGTGTTGTCACCATCAGCACAGTGAGCAGAGCTGCTGCAAAGCCGAAGGGACAGCGGGGGGGGAGGGGTGAGGGTCCCCCCTTCCATCTCTAATGACAGCTCCTCTCATTGAAGTGAGGGGGAGCAGACTGAGCAGGACTCTCACAATGCTACACAGCAGATTTTCCTGTTTTGTGACCATAACCACAGCACCTACCACTGCCATACAGGCACCTTAATTCAAGAGAAGCAAAAGACTTCCAAATTAGCTTGGTTGGTTTCTGCACAGTGGCCAGAAGAAAAGAGGATAGAAGGCTGTGATTATCCTGATTACAAGTGAAGCCCTGCATTTAACTGAATGCATTTAAGTCATTAAGTTTTGCTTGCAAGATGGGGGGGCATAAGTAAATTGTTTCATCATTTCAGTGGAACAGCTGTATTTCTGTGGGTTGTTTTTTTTTTTAATGTTTGGACTGTTGTTGATATTCAGAATTAAAATTGTTAGCATTTAATTCCGCTTTCCTTCTCACACCTTGCAGCAGAAAAGCACAATTAATATTTAAGCAGGTGAACAACTCTTGAAGCTTGTGACTCGCAGCCAGAGTGTCTTTAATTTAAATAATCAGTCAGATAAATGAATGCAGTAAGAGCTGTATCCCAGTCCTGCTGCTGAGCAGATCTGGAAAATGCATGATAATAACAGCGCTGCCTCAGGCGCTGGGGTCGGGGTCACGGTGTGGTGTTTCTGTGTATTCATTAACTTTCACAAGGGCAGATTGATCTTCTGTTTTTCAGGAGCAGTAATGAACCATTTTCTTATTTTTAGGGAATATTCTATCACTGCTTCTAGCCATGTAGCACTTAAAGACAAGCTGTTTGCAAACAGGAGGTTCTAATTAGAACTTGGGTCTCAGCTGCATTGATTGCACTGTGCTTCTTGGGTATTTGGGATTTACAAGTGCCAGGAAATCAACTTGCCAGGGAGAAGGTTTGTGTTGTGGTGGTTTTCTCTCCAGCATGTAGTCCCCACACCCTTCTGTTTTCTGACAAGCTGTAGAAGGGCCTTAGCTGCAGACACGCAGGCTGGGTGATTCTGGGTTTGGGTATCTCCCCAGCTCTCTGCCTTCTAAATGCTCTGGAAACATTAGAAATAGAAGATGTGGGGGGTTTGATTTGTCCTAGGCTGACTAAAATAAATGCACAGCCTCTCTCTGAGGTGAATGCCTGCCCTTTCTCTCATTTCTCTGGTTGCCATTCTTTACTGTCTTGTCCTCTGCTTTTACATTCTGCTGAGAGCTTAAAGCTAGCATATAGTCTGCAGAACTGGACAGGCTGCTTCTGTGTAGTGTGTGAAATCGTGCTTACGTGAGATTACAGCTTTCAAGAAGATATTGTCCACATTTTGAGATCACTGGATAAAAGTCAGTACGAAATAGAAGAGCACTGGCAATGAGAAATTCACTTGTTAATTTAATTTATCCTATCTCACTTACTGACTGAGCAGAGGGCTTAGTTTTACAGAGTGAGATGAAATATCTGCAGACCAAATATAGAAAACCTTTTGTGCTGAAGGCATTGCATGCTCTCAGAATATATGGTCCATAAAACTGAAGTAAATAGTTGCATAAATATTTATTTCTCCATAAACATGTAATGATGCGCCTGAAAGCCACACAGTATTAATGGTGCATGATCTCTATTTTTGGCACATTTAGTCAAATTAAAGCATACCTACATTTAGCATAAGTGAAGCACATGACTATAGCTCTGCAATGCAGGAGGGGAAAATATAGCAATGTCAGATTGATAGATGTTAGATTGATAGCTGCTCTGCCAGCTGTGAAGGATGCGGAGCTGCAGCTGCTGGAGGGCTCTGCTGTCCCTTTGGTGCCGTTGAAATCTGACCTACTGAAAACCACACTTGAGTTTGGGAACTATGTCACTTGGGTAGAGTTCTGTGTTGGGTTTAGCTGGAGTTAATTCCCAGCTCATCTTCTTTCTGGGGCTGCTGGCACAGGCCATCCAAAAGCAGAAGCACCAAGCAAGGGCAGCGATCTCTTTCAGTGTTGGTGCTGAGCTGTGGTGGCTTATGAAGGTCGCTGAGTTGTGGTGTGAAGCTCTGCCTGAGTCAGAAGTGAAACAAAGGGAAGATAGGTGATAACGTTCAGGGGTGAATTTTGAAATTAAACCTTTGCATGAATCATTATCAAGAGCACTTTTGGTTTTGTGTGTTACTCAAGTTTATTTTGTTTCATTTTATTGTTGCCAAACAAGGGTAGGACTGCCCATTAACTTCAAACCAATTAGGCTTGTGTTGTTTTATCACTGGCAAAGGCTTTTTCATGCCAAGTGGGGAGAATTGGGCTGGAAAACACTCATCTGTAAGATAACTGGAATTAAGAACCCTTGGGTAGAGGCACTTGTGGAAGATTGTTTTGTGCTTTTGTTTGTATTCTTTCCCTGGGGATTCTCGTCCTGCTGCAGTGTGTTGTTTTACTGAGGAGCAGGCGTTTAAATCAGAGCACCAAGCAGATGACATCAGGAAGGGTTGGTTGTTTCTGGTGTCAGAGCTCCTCCAGGCTCTCTCCTGGAGCTGCGCAGCCCCAAATAAAACCTGACATTTGAGCAAACCCAGGTGATGTTTGTGTTATTTGCAATAGTCACCTGATTCAGCTTTACACTGGGAAATTGAACAACTGAGCTGCTGAAGGCAGCAGGAATCCTTTCCTCTGGAATAGCTGGGCTGTGGTCAGGCAAGCTTCTGTTAACACCCTTGGGACTCATCACCAAACAGCAATGGCATTATTACCAGCTGTCACTGCTGATGTCCATGTGAGCATTAGGTCTGAAACACACAACACAAATCAAGAAATCCAAGTCCAGTGAAATAAGAAAAGAAAATCCTGGGAATGGAAGGTTCACATTGCGATTTTGAATCTATTTGAATCTACTGATAGGCTGGTGGTACTTCTTTATGTATTATTTGGTGATACCACTGCTAGTTAATTTGCTTGGTCAAGATTAGGGGATTCTGAAGAATAATGCTATCTTTTTATTAACAGTATTTATGTAATGCAGGTTGGGATGCCAGAGAATGAGCCATGCTACATTTGCATGCAGGCTGGAAGCCCCAGAAACAAGAACGTTGAGTTACTCATGTTATTTTACTAGCATCAAACCCAGCTACATGCTGATAACTTAAATATCCATTTCCTCCCTTCGCAGCATAGATCGAAGATAGAATTCATTCCATCAGGGAAGCACCCTCAGGAAATCCAGAGCTGTTGGCTGCAGCAGAGCTGAGCATAGAACACCTTTGGATCTATCAGTATGTGTGTCGTTCCTGATGAGTCTTTAATCACCTCCACCCGATCTGGGGAGACAGGAATCTCCTGTTTTTTCTTTGCAGAATGAGTGGTGCAGATTTTCATTATTTTATTCAATTTTTTTACTTTATTATTTTTAATAAATAGAATCAGCACTCAGTATATCCTGTATACTGTATACCAATATGACCAGTAACTAACTGCCCTTGCAGTAGACATAGTATGCAGTTTGGTTTTGTGCGTGGTCAGATGTGGCAATTGAGTCAAGGGGAATGATGAGCCATGAAAGCCGTCGCTACCTTGTGGAAACCTGCAGATTGCCAATAATTTAATAGAACATGTGCTGCCTTAGATCAAATACTCCTCCTTTTGCTCTGCAATGAAACTGTGAGATCTGAGCAGGAGGAGTGCTGAGACATTGTGCTTTCTGAATCAGGAAATTGCTGAGTACCTACAATCATCAGCTGCTTCGCTTATTCTTGGTAGCGGGGCGTATCTGTGTTTAAATAGATGTTATGGTTCTGGCTGTAAGCAGGAAATGAAAAATAAAGTAGAAAGAAAAAAACCCCAACAACTCCATTGGAACAGAAAAATAAAAGCAGATGATTTCCAACCAACTGTTAAAAAGTGAGGCACTGAATTTTAGAATATAAAATGCAAAGCCAATACCAAGAGCTGCTCTTGCTGGTGGCACTGCTGGGGCTGGCAGGGGAGCTGGGCAGTGGTCTGATGGCTGCAGCATGGCACACACGCAGCTGTCCTGTGTATTATGAGCACCTGCAGGGTGAGTTCACATAGGGAGCGAATGATGCAGTGCATCACTGTGTGGTACTGACACCTTTCAAATTATACATGCCCAATATTTATATCGATTGGTTGCGGAACGAATGCTTCAAAACTAAATTCCCATTTTGGTTGCTTTGTAAGGCGCACAATTGATGGCCCAGTGATTCTTCCTGTTCCCTTTCCTCCCGGCTCCAACCAAGCACAGCAGATGGTTACGTTTACTGCTTCACCTCAGAGCACAGAGGAAGGCACTGACTCTGCCATTATGCACCGAAATCCACATCTGACCCCAAGGACTGCGGCAGGAGCAGAGCCAAATAAGAGCCCCATTCATTAACATGATCTCATTCCCACAGGTGTGATTTTGCTGTTTCTTCCCTGGAATCTGCAGACTTTGGGTTGGTGGTAACCAGTCAGTTTCCTTGTGGGAATGGGCTGAGGGGAGAGACTTGTGGGCTGTGAATTCATGAAGATTTTTCTTGGATTTATTACAGATAATGTTCATGCTTATTTGCTATTAAGTATGAGGGAGGTTGTTTTGTGTTGTGGTGTG